TTTCACCCAAAAGCCCTCAACGCGTGACCGAAGCCCTGAAACCTAAACCCTGAACCCCTCAACCCCATCAACCCCTGAGCGCCAAAATCCTAAAACCCTCTAAGCCCCTAAACCCTAAACCCTCTAAGCCCTAAACCCCCAGGCCCTAAACCCTCTAAGCCTTAAAATCCTAAAACCCTAAACCCTCTAAGCCCTAAACTCTCTAAGCCCTAAACCCTCTAAGCCCTAAAGCCCCAAGCCCTAAACCCCTCTAAGCCCCAACCCTCTAAGGCCCCGCCTGCGCTTCGCTCAGGTCCGCGCCGAGGAACCTACAGGCTCCTTGGGAGTCACAGGCGCCGGGTTTAGGGTTTAGGGTTTAGGGTTTAGGGTTTGGGTTCAGAGTTTTGGGGTCGTGGGTTTTGGGTTTAGGGTTTTAGGATTTTAGAGTCTAGTGTTTAGGGTTTTAGGGTTTAGGGTTTGGGTTTTACGTTTAGGGTTTAGGGTGTTGGTTTTTGGGTTTAGGGTTAGGGCTTTAGGGCTTTAGGATTTTAGGGTTTAGGGTTCAGGGGAAGCTTGTGGGCTCTACCTGAAATGGATAAGGGTCTGGGGTTTAAGGTTTTACTTTCAAGGATTTGGAGCTTGTGGACTTTACCTTAAAGGAATAAGGGTCTGGGGGTTTGGGGATTTACCTTACAGGGTTTAGGGTCTAATACAAGGGCCTTACTAGTTACCGATACTATTTTTATATACCCCTAAAGTTTATTCTAACTATGAAGCGCTATTATTAAGGCCCTTGCATTACGGGGGTTTAGGGTTTTACCCTAAAGGGATTCGGGTCTGCTTCACAGTTAGGGTTTTTCCTCCTGGGGTTGAGGGTTTGGGGCTTTAGGGTTTAGGGCAGACCTCTGGGTCCGCGAGACAAAGAGAGAGAGAGAGAGAGAGAGAGAAAAAAAAAGAAAAGGCTTAGGGTTGAGGGTTTGGGGTTCTGCGCCGGGCTTGAAACCAGTGCCAGGGCTTTAGGATGTCCGCCTACTGCTTCTTAGAAACTCCCAAACCCTTCAAAAACGCAGCACACCTCGAATTATAGAGGGCTCCTTATCAATATAGGTAGTTGTCAAAATTATGGTCCCTTTTGGGGTAACCTGAATAATAGGTGCCGTATTATAATAAGGACCCCAAAAATAAGGTATCCTAATTTTCGGAAACTCCCATATGGTCTCAAGAAGAGTCCGTGTCTAGGGGGAACTTGCAGCTTCGGGATGCTTAGAGGTGCATTGGTAGATACAAGTCCGTTACAAGTGCGGCAGGTATGGCAAGATTGCTTATATTCATATATATGTATATATATATATATATATATTTATATTTATATATCTACACTGCTATATTTGCAGCCTTTCTTCACCTTCTCGAGCTATGATATGAAGCTTCAAGCAAACCGAACACCCGGCCCTGAACCCCTTAACCCTCAAACCCTCAGTCCTCAACCATAAACCCGCTTATATCTGGGTTTCAGGATCCCGCTATTTTGGCTACTAGTCTAGTTCTGTTTGGAATTGACCGGTTTAGGGTGTAGGCACCCGCGTCAATTGTGGCTTTTCAGCTGTGTGGCCCAGCGAAACTCGCGCTTGAACTCTCAGCCAAGCCCAATCTATAATTTTCCGAGGTCGTTTGCTGAAGAGTATACGGGTGAAGTCACGTATTGCCCCGTTGAACAACGAAGCTACGCAGACCCGCCGGCTCAATCCACAGGTTCTTTCTACAGGAGCCCTAAACCCTGAGCCCTAAACCAAACTGTTATAAACTGCAAACCACGCCCGAAACCAACCTTCAGATTGTATCTATACTCTCCACTGCTTCGGTCCTCTCCGCAGACTACACTGACCTTTTATCATATGACCATAAACTTTGAATTAAAACGGGTTCTATCTAGGAGAGCAAAATATAGGGGCATATCACGGCAGAAATGTAGAGGAGAAGGAACCCCGACGAATGATACTGTTAAGTTACTTACCGATGTTTCTACATTCGTGTGTAGAGAGTCTGTCCAGAGCTGCGCCGCACGTTTTAGGCTCAGGCCGGCCTCCCATAGGGAGCCGAATGCCGAAGAGCGAAGGAGATGCAGAGGTGTGGCACTCCCAAATGCCCAGGCTAGGTTCGAAGTTTGTCGCATGTTTGACCGTGTTATGTTTAAAAGGCAGGTGCAAGGCCAATCATAAGACCTTGGTGGCGTCTAGAGGGGTGCCTTGAATATCGTCCCTAAAGTAGCACTGAGGGTTAAGTGGCACCTTGAGATCTGAGCCTTAACGCCCAAGCCATGCAAACAGTATAGTATCAGGCCTGAAGTATGGTTTAGGTCCTAGGGCTTAGGAACCCAAACCGTCAAGCCTTTTGAGCGCTCTTCTTTGCCGCCTGCGGCATGTGCGATGCAACCATCCCAGCCAGCCGAGATCCAAATAAGACTTCCTGGCATGTGGGTAGTTCTCTAAATTTTTGGGTCCCCTTTAGGGTCCTGTTTGCAAGCCTGCGGTACGATTTTGAGGATGTAAACGGAGACCCTAATTTAGATATAAGTACCCATGTGAGGGCAGCAGTCCCCGACCAAGCTTTTGGGAGGCATCCTTCCAGTCTCAATGCGCCCAAATGCGAACACAACAAGTCAAATATACCACTTAACAGCGGCCGGAACTATGGAACGTCACACGGCCAAAAAAAAGCCTTAAACTCCCAAAGCCCTAGCCTGACACGGCCGAATAACAAAGACTGGCCGCTATGGCAAAGCGATTGCCGCAAGCTTCCTCTGCGCGCTGCACCCCACGGAAGCTGGGCAGTCGGGCTGCAGATGTCTTTCGTTTATGGTTTTCGGGTCTGCATGCTATAGAGCTTCGGGGTTTTACTGCTTTAGGGTTTTATGGCTTCGCGACTTCAGAGTCTTGTTTCGGGGTTGTTCTCAAAATTGAGACGACGTTAGGAGCAGGTACTGGAATTTCTTTTCCTTTGCGGGAAATCCTAACGACAAAACGGGACCTGCTTTGTGCTTGTTTGCCACTGTTGCCTCTATATGAGGGTAGTTCTCTAAATTAGGGTCCCTTTTAGGGTACCTTTTACAAGGGTGCCGTACTATATTGGGGACCTAAAAAGGGACCCTAATTTAGAGAACTACCCATGACGAGACCGTTACAGCCGCCATGACCTTCCTTTTTCCCCCGCTGACTCGAGCTTCCCATCAGGAGCTTTCCATTGATGAACAGCAATGGTTTAGGGTTAGTTTAGGGTTTAGGGTTTAGGGTTGGCAACCCTAAACCCTAAACCCTAAACTAACCCTAAACCCTAAACCCTAAACCGTCAACCCTTCAATGCGCTAAGCATCCTAGAGAGTGGCCTGGAGGATGGTAAGTACGGTGTATTCCCTTGTATGACCCCAATACAGGATTGTGTCCCGGCATTACTAATGCACCCAACCTGAAACCTAAACCCTTAAACCCTAAACCCTTTAAACCCTTAAACCCTAAAGCCCTTTAAACCCTTAAACCCTAAACCCTTTAAACCCTTAAACCCTAAACCCTAAAGCGTAAGTCTTGTAGCCATTTGGGGATTCCTGGCACCGTTGAGTTCACGGCCTGGGGGTCGCAGCACAGGTCCCGAAACTTGGCCCGCCCCCATCGAGCAGCGGCGCTACATGCTGCTTGCATAACCCGGAACTGGCTTAGTTTGGTTTTGCTTTCAAGGGCGGTTAAGCTTTAGGGCCCAGGGCTGTTCGGGCTATCGGGTGGGGTTTTTGGGGTTTGGTCTAGACCTCAGCATGGGGCTACATGATTAGCAGATTAGCATATGGGACTTTCCGAAATCTAGGGGTACCTTATTCTGGTGTCCTTAGAAAAAGGATCCTATTATACTATATTAGGGTCCCTTATTTTCTGAAGCCCCCATATAGGTACAAGGAGGATAGGTCCAGAGGGTACCTCGGAGCTCGCCCCCTAGAACCTTAGCATGTAAAGCTTCGAACACGGTATTGGCGTTTCCGAAAACTAGGGGTACCTTATTTTGGGGCGCCTAATGCTACAGATCCTACTATCTACGGTACTACAGCAGGGCCCGCTATTTTCGGAAACACCCATATAGGAACCACTCCAGGTTGCGATCTGGGAGAAGTCCGAACTTCCAGTAGGGGCTTATTCCAGAGTCTAGAGCTATACTTTTTTTTTTTTTTCCGCGGGGCCGTTGAAATCGAGAACGAATAGTCTAAACGGGACATAGTAGAAGCAAAAACAGAATAATTTCGAAGCACAAAGTCGCCTCAAATCCGTAGACGGTCAGCCCTAAAGCCTAACCCCTAAACCCTAAGTCCCTAAACCCTATAAAAAGCCTAACCCCTAAACCCTAAAGCCCTGAAATGTACTGGGCATGTAGGAAAGTCGCGACACGTGGGAAATCCGCGGAGAGCGACGTTGCTGTCATTTCGGACGACGACTGACCTGTGGTTTAGTGGCTTGGTGAGTGCATGCTGCGAGTGCGAGGTGCCTATGCAAGATGATGCGCCAGTGCAAGTGCAGGTACAATTTAATTTCGTTGTTGCATGCTGCATGATGGTGAATGCAAGATGATGAATTCAGACAAGGAATTCCTGAATGCACTTATTGACATGGCTGTCTGTGAATTCAATTTTCGGCTTTTTCGTGCGTGTACTTTAGTTAACTTTGTGGCATCTGCTACAAGCTGGCGGTCTGGGGCCCACTGCCCCGGTACAGTAACATGACCGTTTCGCGTGGCAGGCAACAGAGGGCGAACTTGCGCCTCAGGGGGTGAAGGGATTATAGGGGGGTCTTCTCGGTCGGTGGTTGTGATCTTTGACTGCTCTAGGGCCTATCTTGGACAGCTGAATGACTCACGGCGACACCGCGTCTCTGCCATGCCTGCTAACACAGTACCATACATGTCCTTTGCTCCAGGCGCGCCCCGCACATAGCTGCCGGGCTCTGCTCTTTGTTCTTCTAGCGCACTTCTGAGCCGTGCTTGCAGCCATGGAAGTCCCTCATGCAGGTGAGACGGTACTTGTCGTGCCGGGATGGCTCGTCTGGTTGGGAGGCCTTGTGGCGCACGGGCCCGTTGCCATGAGAGAGGTGGTCCTGGGCACATGTGTGCTCGTTGGCGTGTGGTACTCTGCTCGACGACTGTGGTCCAAGCTTCCGCAGTGGAAGCCAGCTGCAAAACCGGGTCCGTTGCCGGTATACGGGCCTGCCCAGGCGTCCCTACAACTCGAAGACGTGCTGGTGGCTCTCTCGGACACGATCAAAGAGATGCTGCCGCCCATGCTGGAGACCACGGTCGCGGAGGCAGTGCAAAAAGCGATGCCACCCATGGCAGCTTCAAGCTCTGCCGTTGACGGCGGAGAAACACTGCAGGAATGCCTACCACGTGTCTTGGCGGACGTCCTACCTGCCATGGTCATGGAGGCAGTGGCAAAGGCGATCCCACAGAGCGCTCAAAGTGATGGCGACGGGACCACGGCGATCCTAGCTGTGGACACCCTGTCGGACACTGAGCAAACTCGCCTTGCTGCAACCCCTCGACAAGATCAAGACCCTCTTCTCCAACTTCACGGACACCAACAAGAAGAACGTTGAGGGGCTCCTCCAGGCCATACACAAGAGTCAACTGCAGGACCTCAAGAAAGAATTCGAAACCCTGCAAAACTCTGTCAACCAGATAGCTTTGGCGGCGGACAAGAATGCGATTGCCCGCTTCACCACTTTGGATGGAGCGATGAAGAAGGGCTTCCAGAGCTTGGAGCAAGGGCTCGCTGGGCGAGTTGAGGCCTGCGTCGCCAAACTGGAGGGTCTTGCTGACTCGCTGGGAGATGTGGGCACGAAGCTTGAGAGCCAGTGCCACAAGCTGGAGAAACAGGGCGACCGCATTGAAAGTATGCTGCGTGAGAAGCTCACTTCCTTGCAAGCTGATGTCAATCGCCTCCTTGGCGAGCTCAATCAGCAGGGAAGAGACATGCAGTCCACCATGCGGCGCAACACGCAGTCCGTGGACTCTGCTGCTCAAGCTGTGGCCTCTATGGGCGCGGGTTTCTCGGCGCCGCCGCTGGACTCCTCGGGAGTCAAGGAGACGGTCCAGATCACGCAGAACCTTGCGGTCGGACAGGAAGAAGTCTTGGACATTCTCCGCACACTACGTGATCGCCCGGCTCCGACACCTCCTCGAGATCGCCAGCAAACTCAGGAAGTGCCCCTTGCGACTCCGGTACAGATGCCAACGTCGCAAAACACGATGACTGCCTGGGCCCTCGGGGTCCATGGCGAGAGTGATTATCCCGAGTGGCAGACAGATGTTTGCCCCTGAGGAGGACATAGTAGGAGGCAACCCGACCTACCCCCCCCGCTCCCTCTTATCAATACCGCTAGGCCTTGGTTGTGCTTTTTCACCTTTCGGGACCCCAGGATAGGCTCGGTGTGCCTCCTCTGCAATCGTCGCTTGTACAGGACTACATACGGATGCGAGGCAAGCCCATATCCACGCGTCAGAGAGCTGTACGCTGCAACGCGTGTTTTGCATGCCTGTACATTTATTGCACTCTGCATGTTCGCCTTGTGTACTCCTTCTGCATGTCTGCATTCAGAATTCATAGCATGTCCGGCGTGTGCATGTGGAATTTACAGCATGAGCCCAATTCATTGCACCGTGTGAAACGCACTTGAATTCATTGAGTTCGCTCATTCATGAATACATTCAAGGCCTAATTCATTGTACGATTATGAAGCACCATGCATGCCCACGTTTTCGTCTGATGTAGTCTGCATGTAGCGACCTCAGGTGCTTTCTCTTAAATGGTTAATTTGTATTACACTTTAATGAGGTTTGTTTCCAGTGTTGGAGGTTTGTTTCCAGTGTTGGAGGAATGCACCTAGGAATCGCGCTTCGTCTCGGCACCACTGACTCTTCGCCAGCACGAGGTGACAAACGAGTGACCTAAGCAACAGTGGGTAAACATGTGTGGTTGAGCGTGGGTCGGCTATCTGATGAGGAACTCAGCGTACATGCACGTATGAAGTACAGGTTGCGGGACTATAAGGAAGGAGAACTTGCTCGACGGACGTGCACATACGGCCCATGTCTTTGTGAGCACCGCTCTTACGCATGCCTAATGGGGGGGCTCCGATGGACATGCACTTATGGCCCTGTCTCCTTGCGAGCATCGCTCTTACGCAGGCCCAATGATGGGTGATGAAATTTGGTCGTCGGTCGATGTTGTGGATGCTTAGATCTCGGCTCACGTCGTGAGTAGGGGTTGCTGGGAAAACTCGCCCTAACCGCCCCTACCTTCATTAAGCAAACCACTACCCCGCCTGTGCACGATGACCTTCGCACTCTGGCCGCCTCCTTCGGGACTGCAGACTGGTATGACGGCCTATGGCCTCCGTGAACTGCTGGATGACCTGCAGATGGATGAAGCCGACCTACTGGCTCGCGGGATCCTTGATGAGCTACGTCGACTGGCTGATGGGAGGCCACTCCTGCATGACACAGAGTATCATGGTACAGTTCTACTGGAGGCAGGTGTCGCAGGTGTGCGGCGGATATGTCAATCCCGCAGCCCCTCAAGACCGAAGGGCTGCACGCCCGATACTCCTGGCTGTGCTGCATGGGATAATGCAGCGTCTGCGTCTTCGCACGTGGTTCATCTGGGCTGATGATGCGTTGACGACGCTGAGAGAACCGCTGGAGTCGGCGAGCGAGTGATACGTCGTACTGAGACGTGAGGATAGTGGGCGTCGTTATGGGTGTCTCATCTGGCTGCATGTCTACATATGGGCGCATGCTGTGGGTGTTGCGGAATGCGAGCAGTGGCCTGGCTGGATGGACGGGTCGAAGCCGAGTTCTACGTGACAACTGCATGACGAAGTTCCCGAATTCTGAATCTATTTGCATCCGTATCTGCATGCTACTTGGGAATTTATTGCACCTGCATGTGCTTGACCAGACAGCCGTTCCCTGCGTGCCAGCTTGCTGCATCGGTTCGTATATACCTGCATGGAGTGGAGATCCGCAAGCGGCGGTGGCATACGAGTTGGGACGGGGTCGAAGATGCCTAGATGTCGGATTTGCCCTGGACCAACTTGGTGCGCTTAGCTGAATACAGTGCGAGATTGAGCCAATTCAGGATGCATGGACAATGGGAGGGAATAGAATTTGCAGTGAATGCGTTGCGGAGGAGCAGAATTATGGTGAGCGTGTTGAGGAGCAGTGGGAATTCAGATGCATGCTTGATGAGACATGTGGAGACTGTGGTATGGTTTAGGCTAGCTACAGTGGTTTTGAAACAGTTCTGGCTGACGAGCTGTACCCGCGCCTTGCTATTTGTGTTTGCTTTACTTTGTAATGCGCTTTCTGCTTCGGATTTACGCGGGCAGCTCTGTAGGCCGATTTATGACTGTCGAACCGGGCAGTCATATCTCGCGGAGCCGAGTGGCACGTGTCATGCTTGGCTGCTTGCGTGACGGACTTGTGTGGAGCCTTGCCTGCTGCGTGCGAGTGTGAGAGTCGAAAGCCCTGAAGCCCAAACTCCAGGAGAAAAATCTTAAAGCCCTGAAGCGTAGGCCTTTCGAAGCCGAGCCGCAAAACCTCGAAATCTTGAGCGCTAAAAGCCCGAAGCTTGCAGAAGTCTAGCGACCCTGATAGTCACCTCTGAACCCTAAAGCCTAAAGGGTTTAGGGTTTAGGTATTTTTTAGGATTTAGGGTCTTAAAACTTAGACCCCCTAAACCCTAGACCCTAAACCCCTGTGTTTCTGTACCATCAGGTGGCCCACATGCTCAACCCCGAGAGGCCCTCGAATCATGAATCCCGCTTCCACTCGCCTCTTGGCGTTCTTATCTGGGCTTGGTTTAGTTAGGGTTAGGGTTTAGGATTTAGTTAGGGTTTAGGGGGTTTGGGTTTAGGGTTCCTTTGGAGTTTGAGCAAGAAGGGCTCCTACTTGAGGTGATATGTATGTGTGTGTATATATATATATGTACATATGTGCTGGGTTTATATGTCTTTCTTGGGTTTGGGTTGAAGTTTCAAGATTTTCGGATTTAGGACGGCAGGGTCTGGAGTTTTGGGCCTAGCTGGTTACAATCAGAAAACAAAACTATTGAACAATCACCCGAAGCTTGGAAAGCACCGTATCACAGCAACTAAGACGAACATCCCTAGACTAGGCCCTAAACCCTAAACCCCAAACCTCAACCGTTCTCCTGCATTGAGGGCTTCGTCCTAGCTGGGTGGGAGGCACAAAAACCTCAACCGTTCCTTCATCGGTTCTCAGGCGTGGCGTGGAGCATTCCCGGTCATGCAGACCGGATGCCCCAGCCGAGGCAGCTTGCTTGGGTAAAGAGTTTGGCTGGGAGGAACCAAGGCCCGCATCCCGAAACTTGAAGCCCTCAACCCCATGCCCTAAATCCTAAGTGCGTAGGAACCCCTAAAGCCCTAAATCCTAGGTCTGAAAAGCCAAGACCCAGCGGTTGAGTGTTTATTAAGTTGTTTGAAGGAAAGGTCATGTAGGCAAAGCAGGTTGATTGTCTTTTGTTCAAGCATTTCCAAGTATGCAGACTGTAGGCCTTTAACCTTGGAATCACGGAACTGTTTGAACCATTCTCAGTGCAGTTACCCAAACCCTACATGTGTACATAAAGCCTAGGATGATGGTGTTCGCATTTTGTGCGACTGCCTTCGCCACAAACTCTTTCAGTAGAAGCTTTCGTTGGGCCTTCTTGTAAGTTAAACCCTAAACCCTAAGCCCTAAACCTTAAACCCTAAACCCTAAACCCTAAACCCTAAGAGCCTTCTCCAAAGTTCGCAACGTGTCATGCCGTCGCTGATGCCGCGGCTTGAGGCCTTTGGAGAGACCTGCAACAGAAGGAGGAATGAGGCCCTTCAGAGTTTAGGGTTTAGGGTTTTAGGGTTTAGGGTTCAGGGTTTAAGGTTTAGGGCTTAGGGGTTAGGGTGTAGGGTTTAGGGTCCAGAGGCGACCGAGTCCAGGCGAAGTACGAAGCCTGTTGCAAAAGGGTCTAAGGTTCAGACGCAAGCAAGTGGGTTTCCTGTATGTTCTAACATCCTACAAAGCCCCAGGTTTTCAATCCAGAAGTTCTATAAATCCTGTTCCGCAAGCCCACATGGCCCCACTACCGTGACCGCTTCGGAGTATGCCCCGAATCCCCAGAGACTCCAATATTCCTTAATTAAGGAATATTCCTTAAATTATAGTAGGATCCTTAATATGATTTAAGGTATATTCCTTAATTAAGGGGTATTGGAGTCTCTGGGTCCGTAAACCCTAGACCATACATTGGGGGAGTCTGCCCAGCTCTGGTTGAGGCTGCAGGAGCTTTCGGAGATGAGGGTCTCAATACGTAGCACGGGCATAATAGCCGTCCGCAGCGCAGCAAGCTTCGCACCGCGTTAAACCCTACATCGACTGGTGATGTGCAGTGGTACCCATAGGCCCCATAGTAGTTCCTTTTTGGGATTCCCCCCCTAAACCCTAAACCCTAAACCGTGAACCTCAAAAAGGAACTACTTGAGGGCCTATGGGTATGCCACTGTCCGACATCTTGATCACCTTGCGCAGCTGTCGCCTTTCTAGTGCGCATTGCACTCCGAACTACCCCCCTAAACCCTAACAAGAGCCACGGTTTAGGGTTTAGGGTTTAGGGCCAAACCCTAAGATCCTACAACCTTGTGCCCTAAACCCTAGAACCCTAAAGCCCCAAGCCCAAAAAATCCTACAACCTTGTGCCTTCGGCTCTCAAAGTTCATGGTGCACCTGGCGTTGAAGCGCGCGAGCATTTTTGGTTGCTCAGGTTTCCCACACCTTGAGCGTGTGTGACTTCAGGGTTAAGTTTATAAGCGAACCCTAAACCGTAATCTGACGACCGCTCTGTAGGCAGGATGGACAGACGCACCCTACAGTAGTGAATCAGGACCGTTTGCGGTCGGAAATACTAAGGCTAAGGCGACAAACAGACGATAGACGCGTGATGGTCGGGTTAATTGTGGAGACGTTTGAAGGTATGCGTTGTTGAGAGCCGGTGCAGCATGGACGGCTTGCTGTGTAGAGCATGATTGAAGTCTACAGAGGACCCCTGACCAGAAAATGTTGTTGAGCTCAGGGTATAGAAGAGTTTCGGATGGGAGCGTTATCAAAGATTCCAGGATGGCAATTGTTCTCGAAATTGAGGGTTACTTCTCGACTCTTGGGATTAGGGACTGGTTGTGGAGGGCAGCAGGAATGGAAATTTCAACATGCTCGTCATCTTACCAACTTGCAACTTCTTGAACCCCTAAAACCCCAAGCTAGCCCTTGAACCGCCAAGACCCTGCAAGCCGGATCTGAACATTGAAACTGGGCATCCAAGCGGCTCAGGATGCCGCGCACCAGCCGACAACGGAAGCTGCGGCCGCGGTTGAATGCCAACTCCCTGCTGATGCAGTCAGCACCTGGCTTAATTATCCGAGTTTCTGGCGAGCTTTGGTTGGCTTTGGGGAAAAGTGCAGTTCGGGGGTGGGTTTGGCATTTACTCGATCTTCTTGAATCGTGGATCATATTGCTGCGGCTTAATTGTTGCAAGAATAAGTGTCTCAAACAGAGACCTGGCATTTTGGAAAAGCTAGATCTTTTCGTTTACCATTGCATGGTTTATGAGTAGGGCGGTGCTGCTGCCGGTTTCAGTGCTTGGGTAGGAAGGGTGGAGGACCAGGAAGGCTCGATCGGTTTCGGGGGTTTTCCACAAACCTTACCCGCCCAAACCCTAAACCCCAGCCTGAGTGAGGCCTCCAAAACCCTTAAACAGCCTCGGAATCCTTGCGATTCCTGTCCTGAGCTGCATACACGTAGGGCTTTAGGGTCTTTGCGTTTAGGGCTGTAGGGTTGCAAAGCACAAAACTTACTTAGATCCCACCCCCGAGGCTGAGCCCTTCTAAAACCCTTTCTAAGAACAATCAAAAGGTTTAGGGTCCCTAAACCCTAAACCCTAAACCCTAAACCCTATTTCTTAGCCAAGCCATTTTGGCTCAAGGCTTTGGCTCAAGGGCTCAAGCTGGGTTGCTTCCCCTTGTTTGGTTGAGGAGGGCCTGTGGCGCAGCAGGAAACAGCGGAAGGCTTCCTCTCCGGTTACTTGATCCTGCCCTTCGCGTCCGAGCTTGGCGGGTCCTGTTGCCCCAGGGTTTCTTCGGTGTTGCGAGTCGGGACTTCTTCTTCGGATTGCTCTGGCCCACTGTTGATCCACCGAGGTTGTTTGGATGGCGGCTGCTAGGAAAAAAGGGCAGAAGATCGTGTTGTCGGAAGGAGCAGAGCGGAGCATGGCCGTTGACTGTGCTATCCCCGAGGATGATGATCTCGCTGACGAGGGCTTCTTGACTGACCGGCACTCTTCGCCTAAACGTGGAGCAGGGAGTGAAGCTGATCATCCGTCCAAGCGCCGGGAAAGCGATCTAGGATTGGGGCTCGACGTCTCGCAGATGGAGCGACTTCTTCAGGCTCATTCTGAGAAAATACTCCGCGCTCAAAGGGAGAACCTTGAGGGCATGATGTCCTTGTTCGAGGCTAAGAACAGTGAGCGTCTTAACCAAGTTGAAGCCAAGGCGGACTCCGCGGAGCAGCGGGCGCAGACGGTCGAGGATAAGGTTGATAAACTCCAGGAGCAGATCACTGGCCTACTCCGAGGAGACAGAAGCCTGCCGGGCCAAGGACCAGATCGCCGCTTCACGCTTGTGTTCGGGGGTTGGAGCCGTGATACAAGGAAACAAGTGATCATCCAACAACTGGAGGAAGCGCTCGAGAAGCTCCACCTCAGCCATCTCATGGACTCTCAGGCTTTTTGCACTGGCCCACGGCGCAGCACAGCACTCGCGGTGTTTCGCCAGCGGGATCAAGAGTCGGATTATATGGTCCGTAAGAGAATGCATGAGATCATCATGGGGCTTGCCAACAACCAGGTGCCGATCCCTCCTCAGAACCGCAGAATGTTCGCCACCTACAGCAAAAGTCGAGCAGAGCGGGCTGTTGCTTCTCACGGGGGATGGGTGAAACGGACTCTTGGAGCTTTCGGAGAGGAGTATGCGTCGGCCGTGGATGTTGAGTACAGTACGGGGACGTGCTGGCTGGGCAACTCGCTGATTGCTTCGGCTACACGCCCCGTGGAGCCAGGGACAAGGGAACAAGATGTGCTCCGTGATGAGGTTGAGGGTCATAAGACATGGGTGGACCTTGCGGCCCTTTCTAGGGAACTCAAGAAGCCCCAGAAGGAGATACTCCGACAGCTCGAGGAGATGAAGCGCTGACCTGAGGGGGAAACCCCTATGGATTCTCCGACTGAGTCACCACTTGCTGCTAGGACTTTGTGGAGCTTTGAAGTTCGGTCTTGGAATATTGGGGGCGTGGATGAAGCAGCTGTTCCTTCAGCACTCCGAGACTTGGGGATTGAGTCGGGGGAGAATACTCTTTTTCTTTTACAGGAAGTGCCGCGTCGCGAAGCGGGGTGGCACACAGACTGTTTTGAGGGCTGGACATCTCTGAGCTTCCGTCACGAAGAACGGTGGCGGGGCACCGGGGTTCTCTTTAAAGACACCAGCTGGAAAATTGTGCGTAGGCTCGCGTCAGGGCGTGGCTGCTGGTTTCGCATGCGGCATGCTGTCTTTGGCAACGAGATTTGGGTCGGGACTGCCCACTTTGATCCGGGATGCACTCAGGCGACTCACCGAGCGGATGCCCAGGAGCACTTGCAGAGACTGAAAGCAACCCTTCTTCCAGTTATCTTGGCCTGTGATGTCAATGCCCCTATTCTGTGGGAAAGGGATGACCGTGGGGACGTTCAACCGTTTGGTAGAGATGGGAAAACAGTGGGGTTTCTGGAGACTACGGCAGAGCGAGGCCTGCAGATGGTCGCACCAAGGATTGAGCAGATGCAGACGCCTACCAGCAGACCCAGGCAGGAAGGACGAGCGGGTAAACACATTGACTGTCTGTGTCACAAAGGGTTAGCGCTGCCACACATGACGGTTTGGGAGGGCACCTTCAGGTGTCTCGGTACGGACCACGAGCTCCTTTCCTGCGTGGTGGAAGTGAGAGCCGAAAGAGAGAGACGGATGCACTGCACCCGACCGAGAGTGTGGGTGGGAGGACCGCAACAGATTGACCACATCGACCAGGAGGTTCTCACAAAGTTGGCGCGCGATTGCACCAAACCTAGGCCGGGTAAGGGCTACAGGGATCCGGAGCAGGTCAAGGCTGCGGTTCGGCGTGCTAAGGTTCTTAATACTGGGGATGCGTGGAAATCAGTGCAGAAGCTCCGCAAGCAGGCCAGGCAGACTTGGGAGGCCAAACGCATACAAGAAGCTACGCAGGGGGATTGGGAACAGGTCCGACTGCTCAGGATGAAGAAGAACACGGGCTGGGATGCGCACTATGCCGAGGCGCAAGCTGAGGGCCTGGCGCACAGCAGTATACACAACCACCTTAAGGACATTTACGAGACTGGGCATGAGCTGCCCGCCCTGCCTCCTTGGCAGGGCGACTGTGTCGCCTTTACCCAAGAAGAGCTGAAGGCAGCGCTCGGTTCGGGGCGTAAAGGCAAAGCAGTTGGTGTGGATCAAACAAGCATCGAACTCCTGCATGGGATATGCTCCACACCGGGGGGACTCACACACTTGCTCGAGTTTTACAACACAATACTCTGTACGGCCCAGATTCCTTCAGATTGGAACAAGGCCATCATGGTCGTGATCCCCAAAATTCCCTTTCCGGAGAAGCCGGGCGATCTACGTCCGCTATCCATGGGGAGCGCTGCGGCGAAAGTCTTCTCTCGTATGCTGTTGACTAGATCGGAGCCTCTTATCGCCTTGCGAGGACCTGAGCAGTGCAGCGGCAAAGGACGTCAATGCTGTGATTTCATCTTTGTTGTTGCTAGACTCATGCAGCTCGAACAGGAGTGGAAACGAGGAGCTTGCTGGCTCAAGGTGGACTTGGCCAAGGCCTTCGACAGGGTTGACAGAAGGACCTTGGCAGATCGACTCCTTTCCAGAATGGGTATGGGTCCGGAGTATTGTTGTTGGTACAATTTGCTCCGTCAGACTGATGCGATTCTACAGACGGGATGGGATAGTACGGTTCTTCGTCTTCAGGATGGAATCAAGCAAGGTGCCCTCGAATCTCCTGCCTTTTTCAGCTTTCTTGCTGAGACATGCCTACATGAAGCAGCTGCTAAATTTGAGTGGCATAAACAGACCTCTACATTCGAAGGATTGAATCTGGATGACCTGTTGTACATGGACGATGGCCTGCAATGGAGCCCAGGGGTGGAAGGGTTGGAACGCCGCATTGCACAATGGGGGGTCGTCCTTCAAGAGTTTGGCCTTCGTATCAATGCAAAGAAATGCCAACTTTACTGCTCGCCGTACTACAAGGGCAAACGCGTCATGAAAGTTCAGGGGGAGCTCCTTTTTGCCTCGGACGAGATTAGGATCTTGGGTCTCACCTTCAGGGTTGGCATCACTCCTTCCGAACTAGTGGCACCGTTGTTGGCACAGGCGAGGGCGAAATTCTGGGGAGGGCTGAGACACCTGCTTCGTGCAAAGACTCCACTTGGAGGGAGAGTCCGCTTGATGGAGAGAATCTTGGGAGGTACCGTGCTGTGGCCTCTTGCGGCAATCCCGATGGACAATGCCAGCCTGGGACTTATCAACTCCTTGCAACTTCAGATGTGCATATGGATGATGAGGGTTGCCAAGCGACTTGACGAAACATGGGTACAATTCAGGGAAAGGGCTTATCGTGGAGCGAGATCGGTCGTTCATCAACACTCCAAAAAGCGGTGGTCGACCCTATGGTTGGAGAGATGGTGGCAGTACTCTGGTCACAGAACACGCCTACACCTGCACGACTCGCAACATGCACCAGCTATTCTCGACTCCTACAGGACAAGGGTATGGTGGTTGGAACAACAAGCACTCCTTAGTACAGGGATCAAGCACCCGGGGCACATTTACCCCAAGCTCATGAACATGGAACGAGACATGGACACGGCCACTGGTGGTGGCCCTTGGAGGGAAAAAACCTATGACAGACAAGGGTGGCAGGGGTTTCTCACGGCCTGGCTTGCACAGAAAGACCTCCCTTGGGCGAGCCTCCGACAACCTTGTCTCCGGGATACCCCGGTATAACTTAGCCAACATCGCTTCGAGGTTTCACTTCCTTTTCTACTACCTGTTGGATATGGGTCCTGTATGAGGGAGCGTTGGGCAGAACTGCACATTGGCATTGTTTGCTGCTTGCAGCTGTCCAGCGATTGAAGGCAACACGCTTGAATGCCGGGCAGCAGTGAGGTTCAAACCCCAACAGCAATCATGCAGTTTCTGCTGCTCTCCATATACGGGTGGGTGCCCCTTGCACCTCTTCATATCCTTGCCGGCACTCCCCAAGGGACGGCCGAGCCCAACATCCACTTTGCAGAGTTTGGCGCCTACGCCACCACCGGACGCGTGACTTCGACGACTTCCCGGGTGGACCCTTCGCGCCCGAATGGGACATGCTTGGTGACCTCCGACAACTACCGTGAGCGCCACCATGCACGAAAGCAATGCGGCAGCCAAGGCATCGTGTGCAATAAAGCCACCTTGCCCCACTCAGACCCACAACGACGCCGCGGTCACTTACGAACCCCCAGCCAACCTGGAGACGATCCGGCACTTCCTCATGAAGCTGGGCGAGCCCAGTACCCCCTGGGCGTCTCCGATTACACGATCCTGGACACCAACTACGTGAATGGAAGATGCTGTGAAGTGATCACTCTGTGTCATGAAGCCGCCCTGCCCCACATGAACAGGCATCGATGCTCACACTTACGACCTCTCAGCCGACCCCAAGACGATCCTGCACTTCTTGAGGAAGCTGGGCGCGTCCAGCACCCCCAGGGCGACCTTGACTACACGATCCTGAACACCATCTACGTGAACGGAAGGAGCTGCGAGGTGATCACTCTGTGTCATGAAACCGCTCTGCCCCGCATGAATCGGCAACTATGCCCAGAGCACTTGCGAGCGCTTCACCGACCCAGTGACGACCCTGCACTACCTGCGGATGATCGGCGACTCGTCTTCCCCCGGCTCGACCCCGATTACACGACCCAGCACTTCTCCTTTGTGATCCCTCTGGACGAGAACGGAAACCCGCAGATGGCCACACCCTGCAGACGATCCCTGGACAAGGGATGCACAAGGGCAGTGGTTGGGCGCGCTGCGGCGGTACCAGACAACACCGCTGACCCTGGGGACTCCATCTCCCTCATGCAACGTGACCCCGCCACCGGTGCTTGGCTCTCCTACCTTGAGACACTCAGAGACAAGCTGGAGAACATGGGCAAGGAGGAACGAACTGCTGCTGCTGGGACGCTACTAAGGCTCGTCAACTGGCACTGCACCAACACCCGGGATGGTTACCTTCTCGGACACATGCAAGGCCAGGTCGGGATGATCACGGCCTTGCTGGTAGCGGCTATGGATGAACGTGATTTTCAAGAAGGCCAAGCTCCGCCGGAAATCACTTGGGACCTGTGGGTGGAAGCTGAACGCCACTTGGACCAACACCCGGGCTCACCGAGAACGAGAGGACATAGAATGGACCCGGGGCTGCCCTGCATCATGCTCTTCTCTAAGGTCCCGCCGAGTGCCACACCGGACTCCCCCTCCGCTTGCTCGAATGACCAGGAACCGGTACGAAGGCACAAAAGGACGAGAAGCATCACCATTGAGGTATCCACCAACATCGAGGGAGCATCCTCGACCAACGTCCTTCGAACACCGCTGCGTGATGGACACGCGGAGGTTGACCTGAAATTCAAAATCAAGGTGGAGAACCAGTCTGATGATGGTACAAGCTCGGCGGAGCCGCCTGCTGACCCTCCGCGGAGACCAGACAAGCCCAAAGATCAGGAGGACGACGACACCGTAATGCTGTCTGTTACGGGCATCCTGGTGACGGCCATGACCACGGCACAAGCTATGGAAGGTGTCTCCCCAACGATACTCATGGCGCGCGACCAGTTGGGCCGCTTACGAAGGGAGGGGTGGACTCGACAACAGCAAGCCAGCGCTTTGTTCGTCCTCTTCCAGAGGAGACAGCATGATGAATACATGGCCGACTTCCCCGCCTACGTTGCCGACCTGGACTTGGACCTGGATGTCAACCTTGCCCCTGCATGCCTCCCGACTTTGCCTCCGGTCATGGAGTGGATCGAAGCTGAGATCTGGGAGGAGTTCATTGACAGGTTTGAAGGGGAGATAGGTGCGGAGACGGACTCACTCATGACCCTACGAGGCCGAGCAACTATGCCTGCCAGAGAAAGGGAAGGCTGGCGTCAATGGGCTTCGCAGCAGGACGGGCCCAATCCGGCACAGGGTGGGCTAAGGGACAGAAGCAGAACCCCTCCAAGGAGCAGACCACGCTCGCCAACAGAGAGACCGACGGATGACGACGGAGAAGCCGGCGAGGATGTCCTGTCCCTCATGCATGGGGGGTACAAAGGAGGACGAGGAGATGGACTTGCCCGACGCCGAAGACATGTTCGTCGTCGGCAGAGGAGGAATGATCGGCCGGAAAGGTCGAGAGAACGGGCTGCTCGACCACGCCCAGCCCCTACCCGAGAACAAAGGGTGAACGAAAGAGTCACCTGGGAGACTCGGCAACTACTACCTACGGAAGCCTGGAGTGCCGACACCAATGCTGGATGCACAGGCTCCGGGGCTGCCTCGAGCCGAAACCGCACCCGGGCGACTCCAACGACAGCGGCTACAGAGCTGGGACCCTCCTCGATGACGATTATTCAGGCGACTCAAGAATGGTTCCGCCTCACGGGCCTCCGCTCGCCGGGGAACGAGCAGACCTACCCCAGCGAAGCTTTGACGCCCAGCTCCCAGCGAGAGGCGAGGCACACGCTAAGGGCGATGAGTGAGGGGGACCTGATGATGATGCAGCGTGCCCTTATGCGGCTCATGGGCATGCTTTTCATCGAGGCCGCGCACATCCTCATCAAGGTGCACGAGGACAGGCTACGTGCAAACGAAATGGTGGAAGTAGATGTGGACGAAGAAGAAGACGAGGAAACCAGCATCTACATGCAAACCACGCTACTTCTGGAACCCCGCCAGACTTGGGAAGCCACGCTGCACGAGCTTGTCAGCCTTGGAGACAAGGGAGCGGATGGAGATCAGCACGCTCTCCTGGCGCTACGGAGACGTATCACGCAAAGCCTGTATATTCAAACTCCTCGTGGAGTCCAGCTCCACGCAGCACTCGTGGCGGTGACCGGGGGCATTGAGGCCACAGTGGAACACTGCGACACAGCGCAGGAAGCCGTGGACTTCGTGGATACCTGGTGGAAGAGACTCAAGTCCTTTATGGAGCTGGGTGGCCAGGACAGCGGAGCGAGAAGCAGCACCCACGAGACGAACCACACGCCACAAGAGGTGGAAGCATGGGAATGTGAACGACGCCTGCTATCACGGGAGGAAGCGGACCGCCGGGAGCACCGGCAGAGCGAAGATGGCGATTACCAGGACCAGATGCTGGACCGGGAGCAGGAGGAGGCCAAGCAGATGGACCGGGATGCGGAGCTCTTCGAGTCGCACCTCGCGGAGACGTATAAGGACTGGGAGAACTGGGTTCTTCTCAATACACCGAACCAGCAGAAGCGACGACGACTTGTGCTCCGCAGTGCTTTGGAAGGGTCGCCTGCCAATGAGGCCACTGTCGACCTGCCAAACAACCTGACGGCCCTGCACCTCACCATGACGGTCGTGACTGAAGAGGCACCAGTTGTGCCGCCGAAAGTGAAGGGGGACGATGGAGAGGAACCTCAGACGACCGGGGACAAGTTGGAGCCTAAGGGTGACCTCTTTGACAAGGCCTACGCAGCTTGGAAGAAAGGGGCTCTTACGGACGAGGGGGTTGACCTGCTGTTTGGCGAGGACTGGCTCTTCATTTTCCAGGTCATGAAAGAGGGAGTTGGGGAAGATACCTTGATGGGGATGGAACAGCAGCCTTTGCTGGAGGGTGAGAAGTCGGTGACGCAGCTTGATGGGGAGGATGGCGAATAAGTCCCGGGACATGGAGAAGTCGCAGTCGAACAACATCTGAGTCGTAGTGGTTATACCGATAGCCTGCCCAACATGGG